CAACCAACTTAGGAAAGCCGCCGATACACCCAATAAAATCCTGAGTTTTCTAAGCTCCAAGAGAAACTATTAAAGCGAATATTTGATGAGAACCTCTTGTTTCTAATCAGTCGGCATCGGATTCAAGTCACCTTCTCAACTTCAAAGAAATAATAACTACTTTTTTACAACGTTCACACTGACATTAGTAAACTCCAGATAACTGCTGGCCATCGAACATATTAACGTAGGGCGAAACAGATTTTAATTAGAATAAGTCAGAAAGTTCAAATGCATCACCTAATCATAAACTTTATGAACTACCATTATCAACAACTTATTGGAAGGAAATTAAGTGCGCCACATATGTCCAAAGGTTGCCTATGATATCTTTGCTAAGCATTCAAAATTTTGAGAACAAAAAAAGCCGTTCGCAACCCAAAATAGACACTAACCAGACCGTTTCAAGCTCCTTCACAGTATTTACCTCTACTTATTTCAAACAAAAGAACTTCCTCCTTTCTTCGAAAATGGCCTATGTAAGAATACTTCACATCTGAGAAAAACTCTAACACGAAAAAAATGAGTAACCAGAAAGCTAAGCTGCATTTTCTGACGTCACCCATTGACATTCACCTTTCTTTCAAGCTTAGAATACGTTTTACATTTTGCAGGTCTGGACAGCGTCAATCGAACGACAATCTGCAAAACTCCCTAAATTCTCAGCTAAAAAGCATCCTATAATTAATTCTGAAAGAAACTTATGCAAGCATTCTCGCCATCACGGTGATAGTAAACCGTACAATTTCTTCGATCTTATAGTTTGAAATACAGCGATAGACACTGATCTTCATCAAAATCAAGATAAATACAAACAAACATTAAACGTGTATGACACACCTTGCGTCAAAATTGTACCATTTCCGTGGCAAAAAGGCTTTATCCCAGGGGTTTGATCCGCTCGGAGTCAAAGGAGTACCGGCAAAGCGCATATCATCAACCTCGTTCTAGAAAATAAGCTTTAAACTTTGTTTATATGCCATTTCAAAACAAAACCGACTGGTTGCAGCGCAGCATCAGTGTCTGCACGAGGACGGTCGTTAATTAGGCCATGCCTATAAACAGAGACTCTAGGCAACTGATGTGCAAAAAAAAGATGATAAATGAATCACTTGATTCCAAGATAGTCAATCATCCAAGAAGTCATTCCACCATTGAAGAATACAGTGACCATGACAATAGCAGCAGTAGTTGAACAAATTATCTGAACATTTAGCTTTGACTCTAGAAAGAGAAAGGAAATACAGACAACGAATCTCTCAAACAGACCTGACGATTGTCTGTAGCCGTGTTCCGATCAGCCAACGCGAAAGCCATTGCACCACGAAGCCCAGCAAACAATAGCATATGTTGGTAGGAACGTGGGATGCGTGGATGTCGGCGAAGATTCAAGATGTAAGTCAGTGGATATACGAAAAGGGCACGAGCAGCAGTGATGGAGATCTGGAAACTTGGATCAATCATGGCACATCGCCACTCTACTCGACAGCGCCAAATACGGAACATCTTTATTCGTAAGAAGAAGTAGCACCGCTAACATACATTTTTGTCTAAACGTCTTCACCTTACTACAAGGAAAAACTCCTAGGGATATCATTCTCTGCGTTGCCTGAGTTGAAACTCTATTTTGAAAAAATGACCATAAGATTATCTTTAGGTTCCAGACATGAGATTTTCGGTTTCAGACAAAAAACCATGAGAA